TTTAGCTCTGGGGAATTACACCAAATGAAGTACATACAAGATACAAGATACACGAAACTTTATTTTAAGTCGGTTTACATATTACAATAAACATTAGCTAATAAGCTATTTACCGACAATAACAAAGGCATAAAACATATTTACTAACATAAAACAGTTCTGAAAATAAAAACATATAAACTATTAGCAGCTTTAAGCATGAAATAAAAGTGTCAAGGTTAAGAAGAACTTTACAATAAGATGGTAAATTAAGGCATAGTTTGATGACATGCACAGTACATGTTGTATTAAAAGTAATAACAGTTTCTAAAAGTAATAAATGATTGTAGTCTAGAAATTAAAGTATGATACATAGCAATGTGAAAAGAAGAATAAAATTAAAAAAAAAAAAAATAAATAATAAAATAGTAATAGTTTTAAGTTAACATCTACAATTTATAAATATGTAATTGAGGTTTCCTAAAAAATAAATAAATAAAAAAATAGATAAATAAAACTTATTTATAAAAGTGCATAAAAATTTATGATAGAACTAATACAGCATAAAAAAGAAACAAGATAAAGCACATTCAGGGTAACAAACAAAGTTAACTAGACTTAAGTTGCATGCACAGCCTAATGGAATGGGGAATAAGGAGTTTTAATATAAACAAAGCATACAGATCATACAGCAAAGACTCAGCTAGCATAAATGTAGGGTTTAAGAAAAATTAACACACAGCATATAATCAAACTAAAAAGGGATGCACAAAAGCAAAGCAAACAAACAAAACATGTAGTCTAAGCATTTTACGTAAATTAAAACTAAGCAAAATAACAAACACATAGCAAATTTACAAACACATAGCACATTTACAACTTGGGCCACTCCAGACCTGGATCAGTCTCCCAAACTCTTTGTAGTTTTCAACCTTGCGGATGTTATTAGGGAGACTGTTCCATATCTGGGCACCTTCCAACCTAAAAGAATTCTTACCGTATGTTACTGTTTTGACCCTTGGGACATTTACACTTTTTTGGTACCTAAAAGAATAATTGGAATTTTTAAATTGAATTAAATCATTTATATATGGTGGTGATTTTCCATACAGGCATTTAAACACTTCTTTGGCTATAGTTTTAATTCTTGACAAATGTAAAGTAGGCATATTTACTTTCTTTAATAATGTGTCATATGAAGAATTAAAATCATTAAATACTATTTTTAGAGCTCTAGGCTGGAGTTTTTCAAGTTTTTCTGTGTTTGTTTTAGAGCAAAAATGCCAGACAAGGGGACAGTAGTTAAAATTAGATTTGATAAAAGATTTGTAAATAAGAAGAAGACATTCTGAATTAAAAAATTTCCTAATTCTTAAGAGCACATTTAATTGATTGGCAGCTTTTTTACACATTCTGGTGACCTGTATATCAAAGTTAAGTAAACAGTCTATGTCTACCCCTAGCAGTTTAACACAATCTTCACATTTTATTGTAACATTATCAATTTGAAATTCTTTTTAGTGTTCATTTGTAGTTTTTCACAACAGCTATGGCTTGAAACTTGTCAGGGTTAGCTTGCATTTTATTAATGTTAAACCAGTTAATAAGTATTTTACTTTCATTTTCTAATGTGTTTTTCAATATGTCTATTTTAGAGTTGGAGAAGGCTAGAGTATTGTCATCTGCATAATTGTAGGGGATGGATTTATCTAGAAAGTAAAAAATGTCATTCATGAAGATGTTGAAGATCAAAGGTCCAAGAATAGAGCCTTGTGGCACCCCCTTAATTGTTTCAAGCCAAGTGCTATGATATTCTCCTATTTTAACTGTTTGTTTCCTGTTTGATAAATAGTTTGAAACTAGAGAACACGCATTTTCAGACAACCCATATGCCTCTAGCTTTTGGACTGTAAGATCATGCGGTAGACAGTCAAAAGCCTTGGACAGGTCCATTAGGATTGCTGCCACATGCTCATTTCTGTCTAACGCCATCTTCCAGTCCTCAACCAGACGCAAAAGAGTTGTCTGACATCCGTAGCCTGGTCTGAAAGCGGCTAGATAATTATGGAATATATTTTCAAAATGGTTGCTTAATTATTCATTTATAATTTTCTCAAATTTTTTTGACATTGATGGTAATATACTGACAGGCCTATAATTTTTATAATAAAAGGATCATCTTTCTTAAAAACTGGAGTGACTTGAGCCATTTTAAAACTATTTGGAAATAAATTTGTGTTGATCATATTATTAACTATCTTGGATATAGATTTACAAATTATATTTGCTGAGCATTTCAGTATTTTGGGTGGTATATATTGTCATATCCTGTTGCTTTCTTTGGGTTTACTGATTTTAGATGTTTTTCAATTGATTCTGATGTTACAGTAGAAAAATTGAACGTTTGTACATTGTTATTGTTCTGTTTAATTAATTTAATACTAGGATTTTCATTTTGAGTAATAGTCTGATTATTTATCCCAATATTTTTGGCTATATTTACATAAAAGTCATTTAACATATCACACACTTTAGTTTGATCGGCTATCAGTGACTCATTTTCCTTAAGAATAATGTTACTTGAATTTTTCAAAATGGATTTTTGACTTAAAAAAGGTTTGATTGTTGGCCAGAAATCTTTAGACTTTGGGCCCCCGCTACATCTTTCCATGAAGTAGGTGGTAATAGATTCACGTTTTATTTTTGTTTTGAAGTTCCTGAGTTTTCTATACTTTTCCCAATTATTTTTTGTTTTATATTTCAGATATGTGTTATGTGCCTGTCTTGTTTAGTAGATTATTTTTCTGTATTTAGAGTTCATACAAGGTGGTGAAGATTTTTTAGGATATTTTTGTTTTATAGGTGCATGTTCGTCTAAAATTTCATTAAAAAGTTTATTATATGCCCAGTAGGTGTCATCAACATCATCAAAAGTAAATGCTACTTGGAACGGTACTTTGTCAAGTTCATTGTTAAAAACATTTTCATCAAAATTTTTGTAACTCCTAAAAGGTATTTTCTTTTTAGATACAGTATTAACCTGTTCTTTAAGAGTTGTAAATATCATACTATGGCAGTCACTTATACTGCTACTGATAACTGATGAATTACATAGCAAAGAGGAGGAGTTTGCTAAAATTACATCAATAAGGGTTGGGTTGTCTAAATTCTTAAAACATGTTGGTTTGTCAATTAGATTTACCAAGTTGAAACTATCCATGATGTTTGTAAGGAGTTTATTTTTGGTAGGATTTAGCATATCATAGTTTAAGTCCCCAGTTATAATTACATGGTCAAATTTAATGAATAATTTATCTAATGTTTCAGATAGCCTTGATTCAAAAAGATGGTTAGACATTAAAGGTGGTCTATATATAAAAATAATTCCCCATTTTCTTTTTGACAAATTCAATTCAAAACATAAATTTTCCAGACCTTGATTTTCTAAGTCTGTACGGCGTTTAATAGGTAAATCTGCCCGTATAAGTGTCAGCAAGCCACCACCATGGGCATCTCTATCACATCTGTGTAACTTGTATTCATCAACTGAGAACAGGTTATCACTGAAAGAATGATCAATTTTGGTTTCAGAAATACAGAAAATATCAACAAGATTATTATCAAAAATGGGCCTAATTTCCTGAAATTTATATCTTATACTATTAATATTAAGATGACCAATTATCGGTCTTTTCCTATTTAAGTTTTTAAGGTTTTTAACATCATCAAAAATGTCATACAGGTGTTCACTATCACCGGCACTATCATTAAGTATGTCACTGTTTTCGAAAATTTCTTCAGTTGTTTCGTCATGAAAATCATTCAGAGAATCTATAGTTTCCTGGCTGGGTGGTATCTCACTATTTAGATTTTCACATGTGGTGTTTATAACTGATTTACTATAAGAAGTGTGGTCTTCCCGATTTTCCTCCTCATCGCTCGAGGGGGAAAAACTGTCACTTATTTGTCTATAGTCATATGACTCAAGTGTAGATGACAGATCAGGAGTACATGCAGGATGTGTAGTTGATTCCTTAGATAATTCTAATAATTCAGGTATACATGGTATAAGTGGCACTTTAAGACACAGAGTACATATATAAGGATCCGGGTTATTCTGCAATAATACATAATCTTTTGGAGATATATCAGCACATTTTATATGTAGCCATTTATCACAAGTCTCACAGAGGACTGCCCGGTGTGTTTTGGCAACAGCTCGTGAGCACAGCCCGCAGGGGTGTTTTATCGGTCCAGGATTTGTGGCAATATCTCCACACAATAGGAGGAGGAGGGACAGTCTGTAGAACCCTCTAAAGTGCATATAGCGTAGGTTTCGTCTCATACGTATAAAGTGAAAAATATTATGTTGACTGTATTGATATTTCATTTTCACTCGTGGGCATAGCTAGATCACTATATAGTTGATCTCTTACCATCTGGTTTGAAATAGTAGCTGGATTTTTAATATAATCGGGATCAAGTTCCAATCATGTTGTTAATTTTTCTTTGACAACACAGTAAATATTCGTTTCTTCGCCGCATACACACAATAACAACGTAAAAATTATAACTCTTATGGGCGCAGCCATATTTGTTTACAGTTACGTGATATTTCTATTTTTCTATCATTATTTAACCGTTTAAGGTGGAGAAAATTGATGTTTTTGAAAATTATCAATATTCCTTTAATATCTATTGCAAATTATTAAAAAAATAAATTGTTTATAATGAAAATCAATAAAATTCAAACAGACGTGGTGGAATCTTCCATAATAAATAAGGTTATTTTCTGCGTAAACTTGTGTATTTACTTTATTTTTTGTATGGAATTATTCAAACAATGATATTTAATTATTTTTATATAAAGAAATAACTGTTTTATTTCAATTTAATTTTAAAAAAGGCCGAAAACATCGAGTTCGCTATTACACTCCATTAGGCGAATTCCCCAGAGCTATGTACAGAAAGTACCGGAAAACGGCGTTTAGCTAGGTTTTCGAATTCGTGAATTTGTAAGAAACTCTTGCATTACTTCCCTTTAATTGTAAAACGCCGTTTGTACATATTCGCAAATTGAAAGATAAATAGCTTTTAATAGCGTTTTATATTTATATGAAAGCATTAATGACGGCTTGGTACCAAAAAACGATCAGAGGGGTGTTATTAGATATAACTGGAGTGTTATATGACAGTGGACCTGATGGAGGAGTTGCAATTGAAGGATCTATCGATGCTGTGAAAAGGTTACAAAAACAGTGAAAAATACCACAGACACTAGTCCAAATATTATAAATGACGTAACCGCGGATTTGAAGCTATTTTTTACGTGGGTCAAATCCGCTTTAACGTCTAAACAAACAATAAACATGAACAATCATTCAAACTTCCGATGTAAAATGTTACAAATAATCATAATCCTACCACAAATGTGTATTTTCCTTATCAAAATCAACTTATTCAAATTTTAAACAATTTAAAACAAATCCCATGTTAAAATTGTGTAAACAGCCTCCATATTGTGTGTACTACACAATGCGGTGATTACTGGAACCATATTTTTTAAAACGAAATTTTTATTGCGTGCACCTGTCAGCGTCTTAAATCACAACAGAATTTTTTATCGTTCAGACTAATTTCGTACTATTGTTTTTTGAGTGACGTCACATCATGACCAGGAATTTACAATATGGGGGTCACCGCAAACTGTCTTTCATGTGTCTTCTTAAATATATGGATATATAAACAACTTATCGTGAGTAATTATTGCATATTTTTACAGTTTTTGGGAAAATATGCTTCCGTCTTTTATGCAATCAATTGCTTTTTGTGATAAAAAACATTTAAGTTGTGATTTACCGGTAAATTCAAATCGACTCGAGAAGCGTGATGATTTATGCTATGGGAAATTAGCCAGTTATGGAAAGACTTCGCATTTTCCGATAAACGTCAAAATGTAAAAAAAAAGAAAATGCGATGTCTTTCAATGAAGGACTTCACAGACACAGACACTTGGGGTTATGTGCGTGACTCCCCTTCTTTATCCGCACTTGTATACACCATGCCTATTTTTATCGTGCAAACCGTACGTCAAAATATTTTTGCATATTATTACGACCTGGGCACATGTCTTGAACATAAAACTTGTTTTCCACTATTTTAACCACGTTTAAAAAAGTCCCAAAAATATCATAATCTCATAAAGATAACAAAGTACGCTTTCCAATGATGTGAGACAACTGAAATGAATTTCAGCACTGTTTTGCGCTTTCATTTTCATGCCGAGAACCAAAACCTCGCAGCGGCTACTTCCCCTAATCAGTTCAGAAACCAAATCAAGAAGACTGACGGAAAGGGCCGAGTAGTTGCGATTGAATTTTTTTTTCCCAGCGATTTTCCCGCTGTTATTTACGGGAAACATTTTAGTCTTCATGAATTCGTAAAGAAGCATGTGACACGGTTAGGAAAATGTAATTAAATGTGCAAAGCTTGGAAGAAAGGTACGATCTGATAAAAACATGCATTTATTTATTAAAGGAATATATGCATAGACTGATTTACATCAGAAATAAATGGCATGTGATAACATAAATACCAGCAGACATTTTCACAAAAAATCTTACTACAATTTTTTATCTTAAGAGAATTCCTACGATAAATCTCCTTTTCACAAAAAATCGTAAGAAAATCTTAAGTGTAAAATCTGTCATAACTTTATGATAGGTCTTCCCCGTTCGTAAGTGTAATTTTTTCTCACTGAAGGGTAATTTAAGGGTAAAATATAGAGGATATTTGTTTGTTTTGCATGTAAGATTGAATATAATTTCACTGAGTGAAAAACAGATGCAATATTTTCACGAGTGGCGTAGCCACGAGTGAAAATATTATAGCTGGTGTTCACGAATGAAATATATTTCAATCTTATATGTAAAAAAAATTTTCTTTTTATTTCTTGCTTTTTCAGTGATTTTAAGTATTTTTTACTGATTTTTCTGTGTAACGTTGCGCGTTCTCCCTTTTGACGTCATCACATCATGACGTCACATCATCAATTTTGAAATATAGTTCTTTTAAATTCCTCTAACTTTGTTACGTTTTTAACATGATGCATGGTGACATCGACTTTCTTTTCCTAAAGAAGCAAAATTTACGCAAGACGGCATTTATTTCTGCCCGTTATTCCATTTAGTTCTGATTTTCTTTTCATCCGCTATCAGATATAGTTCGGCTACAGTGAATATTATATTTTATAAATTTCACTTGTGGTTTATCAGAATATAATCATCTGATATATTACAATAAAACTGGAAAGCATGAAATAAATCTTGTATCTGTTACCTAAACTGTCGTTGACGTCAAACCACTTGCCCCTCACCGCTGTGGGTTCGAATCCCGACAGGAACATGCGAGGAAGCTATCCAGCTAGCTTACGGAACGTCGGTGGTTCTACTCAGGTGACCGTTCGTGCCTGAAATAATGCACTGAAGACACCTGAGGTCTTCCTCCACCAGTAAAGCTGGAACGTCGCAATATGACCTATACTGTGTCGATGTGACGTAAAACCCCAAAAAACAAACTTACCTAAACTGAATAAAAAACAAACAAAAAGTTGGAGGACAAATATATATTAAATTATTTTTCAACATAAATATTTGTGACGTCATGACTTGATGACGTCACGATTGAGAGGGCTATGAATAGTTTAAATGTGAACTATACTGTAGTATTATTGAAAACTAATAATTTGTACATTTGGTGAGTTCGATTTCATTGCCAGCGTGTACTAGTGGTACCTTTTTATTTATAAATAACATAGTAGACCTTCTTTCTGAATCTTTTAGATATTTATAATTATCTTCAATCAAGATATAAATTATATCAGTTTGAATCATTTTTTGTTCTTATTGAAATTTCATTGTGTTCAATAGATATTTCAAGCTCTTTATTACTTGATTTTAAAACCGGAATCAAATATTGAGCATGCACATCAATATCAAATGAACGTTGCTAGGGATTTTTTTATCGTAAGATTTATCGTAAGTGAATTTTTTATCTTAAGATAAAATTTAAACTTACGAGTGGCTTTGTGAAAATGACTTAAGATTTAACTTACGATTATCGTAAGTCAAAAACTTAAGATAAATCGTAAGATTTTTTATGAAAATGTCTGCTGAAATATATGTAGGTCAGTTGTTTTTACATTTCGAAGCTTGGTATCTTCAAGAAATTGAAGCGTTGGTAAAAAATTGACTGTTTTAAAACGTTATGAAATTCTATTTAAACTTGTTCACGTGTTAGTCACTGAACCCTCTTATACTAATATAAGCACAAATTTAAAACTAATTCTTGTAATAAACAATACTTTTAGTTTTTAATATTCAGGGGCGGAGAAGGGCGGGGTCCATATTCCAAGTGTCTGTGGCATAATCTGATCATCATCCCCCAGGGGACAATAAGTTTTAAAAAAAATGTTTCATTGTCAGAGCGACTTCAATGACAGATTACGTCGGTATCATGTAAACGCTTGAAATGTTTATTTCTATGATGCTCACACATTATCACTGACAAAACTATAAAACATATCTCCAATTTATATGAAATTTTATTTTACCATCTTAAAACATTTTGATACCTGTTATAAACTTATGTAATTATTATAACATTTTAAATGCTGTGGGCAACGTCCCTGGGGACGAAGACCGGATAATATATATACATGTACAGCGGAGATATGAAATATTTGATCATTACTTTTGCCTTGTAAAGGGAAATTTTCCCGGGAAGAGGGTTTTCTTGGAGGGCTCTTTTATTTTATAAAGTGTAAAATTAAATATTGAATAAAAAATTATTAACAATCTATGGCGATCTTTACAGAATGAACTGAATTTTAAGTATCGTTTTGCATTCATTCCGTAAAACTAAATATATTAAACTTAGATTTATTTGCACATGGATGTGATATTTACGGAATGAACCAAATTTGAATTATCGTTTTCCAGTCCATAAAATATTAGAAATGGAACCTTATTGATCAACCATTTGATATGTTCTTTACTTAGGGATGTATCGTTTTGCATTCATTCCATAAAACTTTATATACAAATGTATGTAACCAATTTTATTAATAATCTGATGTGTTAGTATGAACACACCAAAGTGTGTCAGACCCCTGTGAAAAATACACCTTACAAAGTTACTACATTTTTGTTTTCATTAAGAAATGTTTTATTCCTATTTTTGTATTTATCTGTTTATGTGTTTCAAAATACTCTTCGATACAATCAACACTTCTCCGGCATAACCTTACGCTTCACCAAGCAGCCTAATCAAACATTTTCAGACACTGAATTATTGATATACATTTTTGAAATTTCAATGTGTATCCAGACTCCAATAAATAATGTTCTGCATTAGACGTTGCATATCTTCACTAAAGGTGTCTAAATGCTGCTTTACTGCATCCTCTCTATGGCATAGTGTCTGGAGCATGGTTATTCAAGTATTTCTTCATGTTCTTCTCGAACTATTTTTGTACCTAGCAAGCTTGAGACTTTTTGGTACTTTTTTGCTAATTTTGATTTCTTTTGGAAGGAACTGGATAAGTTCTGCATTGTATAATATTTAAACTTACACAGTATTTGATGACACATTGTTGTTTAATTTATTACATGTATGTTGGAGCCATTAAAAAACATTTACTAGGCAACCTATTTTTCTAGTATAATTGATGAATAAGTTGTTGAATGACATTGAAATTCAAACTAAGAGCACCAGATGTCACAGGGTGAGAAAAATGTGCAGTTTGCCAGTAACTCAAACCTTAGTTTTTCTGAATATCTTTTGGCAGCTTTACCAGAGCTACCAAGTCACTTTTACATTTTTTTCCCTATTAATGATCAATTCTGTGTCATGACAAGTATTGTAAAGGCTTGTTATCTTAAAAAAATATTTTACTTACAGATTAAAGGCCTCAGGTCTTCCAGTAAGATTTTGTACCAATGAAACCACCACCACCAGGAAAAAACTTGTGGAGAAGTTGTCAAAAGTTGGGTTTGAATTGAAAGAGACTGAGATATTTCCACCAATACCAGCTGTGTGTAAAATTCTTCAACAAAGAAGCCTGAGACCATACCTTATTGTAACTGATGGTAAAATGCTTGAATTATTTTTTTCCACCCTACTGGTGTCCATAGGTTTTGTTATTTTTCCTGTCAACTCATTTGTGTAAGTTTGGGATTCTGATTCCATTTAAATTCTGCTCATATATTTAAATTAATTCTTTTTAGGGAGCTATTTTGAAGGGTCCCCAGAACTAAGGATAGAAAAATGTCTAACATTTTTTCATTTACAAATGTTAAAAAAAAAAAATTGCAAAATTGTCAATAATAGATCTGAACAAATGAGTGCTTTTTACTAGAGAATGTTTGATTTTAGATTTATAAATCTTATAAAGGCCTGCCCTAGGTGTACAAGTGTTTGCAAATTTTAACCCTCCTGATGTCCAAGTCTACGAATGTAAGTGGATGAGTAGAAGTTGCAAACTTTACCAGGTCACACGTTAACTAAGGAAAGATCAGGATCAAATAAACCGGATTTTATTCTCCTTGTTCTATAAAACTAAAATTAATTGTATTTTGCTAAAATTATGTTGTACATAAATAAAATGAGCCGTGTCACGACAAAATCAACATAATGGCTTTGCGACCAGCATGGATCCAGACCAGCCTGCGCATCCGCGCAGTCTGATCAGGATCCATGCTGTTCGCTTACAAACCCTATAATAAGTAGAGAAACTGATAGGGAACAGCATGGATCCTGATCAGACTGCGCGGATGCGCAGGCTGGTCTGGATCCATGCTGGTCGCAAACCCATTATGTTGGTTTTGTCGTGACACGGCTCAAATATAAAACATCACTGATTTGCAAAGAAACAACCCTGATTCAGATAAATTTGACACAAAAAAACCCATTAAAAACATTTCTAAATTATTGGAATAAAATAAGGATCAATTTAGGATCAAAGCCAATATTTGCATCAACTGTAAAATGCCTGTATCTTTAGTTTAAAATAAGAAGAAATTAATTATAAAATAATCTTTCAAAATAACATGAAATTTATTACAAAATTTCATGATCAAGCTATTTAAAGTCCAATTTTATGAAGTTAATTATAGATAAGGATAAACAATAGAGAATATTTTGAGTTTTTAAATTTGATCCTGATCTTGATCCTGATTCTTAAATCTTTGTGAAAATCATGGCTTAATGAACCAACAGATGGATCCTTACTGTCCTTAAATCTTTGTGAAAATCATGGCTTAATGAACCAACAGATGGATCATTACCAAACTTTATTGCATAGCAGACTGGCATTTCTGTGCGTTTTACCCATGCCGGAAATTTCATCTGGCATGGGGGGTGCCAGATGAGTCGCCTGCCAAACAACAACGTCATTTTAGCGTTTTAGAAGGGAAATATGTGCTTAGGATGACGTCATTTTGCCGTTGTTATTTAAGTTGTAAGTTCATACACTATTGTAAAAAAATAGTTATGGATGAAATGACTTTAATTTCCATGAACATATATATCATATTGAGGTAAACCATTTTAAATATGAAATAATATGCCAGAATTTTTATGCCCCCGCCATGTAATGGCCGGGGCATATAGTGTTACCCTGTTCCGTCATTCCGTCCTTCCGTCCTTCTGTCATTCCGTCATCATCAGTTTCCGTTCATTATCTTAAGAACGGTTGCACACATTCAACTCAAATTTGACATATGGATATGTCATGAGAAAATACAGGTCAAGTTCGAATTTGGTCATGGTTCGATGATTTTTGGCAGAGTTATGCCCCTTTTACTTTGAATATAATATGAAATTTCGGTTTCCGTTCATTATCTCCCCAATGGTACAACACATTCAACTCAAACTTGACATATGGATATGTCATGAGAAAATACAGGTCAAGTTTGAATTTGGTCATGGTTCGATGATTTTTGGCAGAGTTATGCCCCTTTTACTTTGAAAATAATATGAAATTTTCAGTTTCCGTTCATTATCTCCCCAAAGGTACAACACATTCAACTCAAACTTGACATATGGATGCGTCAAAGGAATGCGCAGGTCAAGTTCAAATTTGGTCATGGTTCAATGATTTTTGGCAGAGTTATGCCCCTTTCACTTTGAAAGTAATATGAAATTTTCAGTTTCCGTTTATTATCTCCCCAATGGTACAACACATTCAACTCAAATTTGACATATGGATATGTTTTTGGAATGCCCTGGCCAAGTTCGAATTTGGTCATGGTTCAATGATTTTTGGCAGAGTAATGCCCCTTTCACTTTGAAAATAATATGAAATTTACAGTTTCTGTTCATTATCTACCCAACAGTGTTACATATTCAACTTAAATTTGACTTATGGATATGTCAAAGGAATGGGCAGGTCAAGCTGGAATTTGGTCATGGTTTGATGATTTTTTGGCAGAGTTATGTCCCTTCCACTTTGAAAATAATATAGATACATCTTAGGAATATTAGCAGTTTAAGTTTGAATTTGGTCGTGGTTCAATGATTTTAGACAAACTTATCTTTCCTGAATGTTGGAAAATTTTTGAACTTTCAGTTTCAGCACTCATACTTTTAGCCATTATTTTGGCTACAAATATGCAATATGATATTTTTAAAAGATTAAGACTGAATAATTTCAGTGCCTTGAACATTGTATGAAAATGGTTTGTGTTAACATTGAAAAGTTTTAAGGGCTTTGAACTTAAAATGAAAAAAATAATTGATGCACCATCTGAAATTTTGGCTGCATGCGGGGCCATCCGTGGCATGATGACACATTTCTAGTTTTAGATCTGTTTCTGGTTTCTCACCCAAAAAGCATGACGGTTAGATAAGTAGAAGTTTTTTTTCTATATATAAAAATGTAAGTAAAAAATATTTTTTTTTTATGTATATGGTAATGAAGAGATTTTAAAAAAAGTGGAATGGGAAACGGTCTAGGGTCTTCAGTTAGAAAAAAGGATATGTAGTCAAACCCCCTAAATTATACAAATGAAAACATATTTCTCGTCCTTTTCTTGAAATAAAACTGTTTTGATTTGTATTGTATATGTATAAATGTATACGATATGCACATATATTCTGGAAATAAATATGTTTAAACTAAACTCCCTTAGCAGAACATAATTAATTTTTATATTTTTCAGAATGTCTCCCAGACTTTGCGGCCGTTGATCAGACCAACCCAAACTGTGTTGTTATTGGAGATGCTGAGACAAACTTTTCTTACGAAAATCTTAACAGAGCATTTCAAATAATCAAATCCTTAGAAAATCCAGTGTTATTTTCAATGGGCAAAGGGTATGTAAATACATAAAATCCTTATAAAAATAGCAAAACGTACAGGTTAATTCTGTTTGGAAAAGATATGATTTGTAATTCTAATTTAGGAATACACATTATTTTTTATTGAACTCCTAGATTGTTTGATTTAATTTCATTTTAGGAATATGTAATCATTTTAGATTGTTTTAAAAATAACAAAATTTGAACACATATACACTTAATAAAGCATGCCATAAACTTTATTGCTGTAAGTGCAAAACCTGTTTGCATTCTTCAGAAATTGTCAGTACTTATAATAGCAAATTTCAAGTTTACTTGTTATAATGAGCCGCATCATGACAAAACCAACATAGTGCGTTTGCGACCAGCATGGATCCAGACCAGCCTGCGCATCCGTGCAGTCTGATCAGGATCCATGCTGTTCGCTGTCAGTTTCTCTACTTGTAATAGAGTTATTAAAGGAACAGCATAGATCCTGATCAGACTGCCTTATGTAGAGGCAAAGATTATTTATGTTTGTGAAAGTTTTGTTTTAGAATATGCAGTCTTTGTTTTGAAGCCTAAGGTTAGATTGTATTGATCACCACAAAATGTGACCACATTTTCACTTATATAGCACTTCATATACATGTAATTTATAGCAAATCCAGTTCATTTTGTTATAGGCTTTGTTTACTTGAGGCCACAAGTTTGGCTTAAAATAACAATATTGTTGCAGTTAATTCAATACAGACTATGTCAATTATATGATATTGTGTCCATTTATTTGTATAAAGTGTATTGAACAGGGTATTATCTGAAGTTGGAATAATGATTAAACATGGAATTGTTTTAAAACAGCAGCTACTGGTGTGTAGTTGATGAGACACATCAGCCAAGGGGTGTTACCCGCATTATCTAACCCCTATAGGGTTAGTTCAATTAACCCCTTTAGCTGATGCGGTGCATCAACTAACCCCTTAGATCAACTTAACCCCAGTAGCTGTTCTTTTAAGTCGATTCCAGGTTTAATCATGATTTGAGCCGTGTCACGACAAAAACCAACATAATGGCTTTGCGACCAGCATGGATCCAGACCAGCCTGCGCATCTGTGCAGTCTGATCAGGATCCATGCTGTTCGCTTTCAAGCCCTATAACAAGTAGAGAAACTGATAGCGAACAGCATGGATCCTGATCAGACTGCGCGGATCCATGCTGGTTGCAAACCCATTATGTTGGTTTTGTCGTGACACGGCTCATTTCATCTTTCAGATAATACCCAGTTATTGATTGAATTTAGCATACAAAGATGTGATCTATAATTATGACTAATACAAATGTCAATTAGTTCACCTTTAAAATTGTACTTGCTATCAAACTACTATCTTACCTTAAGTTCAAGGTGTTTTTAGACTTGTTCAATGTAATATGAAAATGTGTTCTTCAACAAACAAATTCAAAGTAATTTTAATGTGATTTGGTCTTTTGTCATTAATGTAGGATTAATCATACTAAAGTGACATGACTTGTTACTAATATGGGGAGCATTGTCACTAATATGTGGGGGAGGGGAATTGTTGCAAATATGAAGAGCGGTGCATGGGTGCTCATTACTAAATATTTATTTGTTTCATTTTACGCCTTTTCCCAACAGTATTTCAGTCATATAGGCGGGTAGTTTCCTAACCATCGTTCCTGGAGAGTTACACCAGTACTAGACTACCTTCCTCTGTGCTAAACTACCAAAGCATCTCCCGGGGATCAAATCCACGCCAGAGAGGTAACTGGATTAGAAGTCATTGACTCTAATCCCTCGACCACGGAGGCGGTTCATTACAAAATGTGTGTGTGGGAGATTTGGTGAAATGATTATATATATTTGGTAAATCATCACCAGCTAGCTTATTAACATACCATGATGCCTCTATATTGTTGTTATAATGCATGCTAATGATCTTAGGTATTCATATGACTAATTTATTGAAATTGTTAAGATAGAAATCTTATTGAAAAATTAAAGGAGAAAATGAACCCATAGATTGAGAACAATTGCTAATGTTGCAGTATTGTTATGATAAATCATACAGTGTTTTTCATGTCTACTTTTAGAAAGTACTACAAGCATGGAGGAAAACTGGTTTTAGATGCTGGCCCATTTATGAAGGCACTCGAGGTATAGTAAATTTTACTAAGATAAAACCCCATAACTTTTACATGAAGTTTAAACCACATCACATAATAAAAACTACAACTTTAACTATAAATGGCCATATTTTTGTTTTTGTTATAATGTTTCAATGTTTTATATTTCGCTGTTTTGTGTACATCATTTACCCTAAGTCATATCCCCTAATTATTTGAAATTTAGCAAAACTTTTGTTGATAGGAATTTTTTTTAACAGCAAACATAACAAATTGAGTTCCTAGGACTGCACAACAAATATGGTTCCTGTAACAGCATAACATATTTTAAGTATGATTTGTGTGTCATCATGACAGATATGGTTGTTGTGGTAGCCAGTCATATGTGGTTGTTGTGGCAGCTTGTCATATTTGGTTGTTGTGGCAACATGTCATATATGGTTGTTGTGACAGCATGTCATATATGGTTGCTGTGGCATCATGTCATATATGGTTGCTATGGCATCATGTCATATATGATTGCTGTGGCATCATGTCAGATATGGTTGCTATGGCATCATGTCATATGTGATTGCTGTGGCATCATGTCATATGTGGTTGTTGTGGCAGCATGTCATTTGTGATTGTTGTGGCAGCATGTCATATATGGTTGCTGTGGCATCAGGTCATATATGGAAGCTGTGACATCATGTCATATGTGGTTGCTGTGGCATCATGTCATATGTGGTTGCTGTGGCATCAAATCATATATGGTTGCTGTGGCATCATGTCATATATGGTTGCTGTGACATCATATCATATGTGGTTGCCTTGGCAGCATGTCATTTGTGGTTGCTGTGGCAGTATGTTATATGTGGTTGTTGTGGTAGCATGTCATATGTTGTTGTTGTTGCATTATGTCATATTTGGTTGCCTTGGCAGCATGTCATATGTTTTTGTTGTGGAAGAATGTCATATATGGTTGTTGTGACATCATGTTTATATGTCGTTGTTGTGGCAGCATGTCATTTGTGGTTGCTGTGGCATCATTTCAAATGTGGTTTCCATGGCAGCATGTAATATGTGGTTGCTGTGGCAGCAATGTCATATGTGGTTGCTGTGGCATCATGTCATATGTGGTTGTTGTGGCATTATGTCATATGTGGTTGCCTTGGCAGCATGTCATTTGTGGTGGCGGTGACAGCATGTTATATGTGGTTGTTGTGGTTACATGTCATATGTTGTTGCATTATGTCATATTTGGTTGCCTTTGCAGCATGTCATATGTTGTTGTTGTGGAAGAATGTCATATATGGTTGTTTTGACATCATGTCATATGTCGTTGTTGTTGCAGCATGTCATTTGTGGTTGCTGTGGCATCACTTCATATGTGGTTTCAATGGCAGCATGTCATAATTATGTGGTTGCTGTGGCAGCATGTCATATGTGGTTGCTGTGGCATCATGTCATATGTGGTTGCTGTGACATGATGTCATATGTTGTTGCATCATGTCATATGTGGTTGCTGTGGCAGCATGTCATATGTGGTTGTTGTGGAAGCATGTCATATGTGGTTGTTGTGGAAGAATATCATATGTGGTTGTTGTGACATAATATCATATGTCATGGTTGTGGCAGCATGTCACATGTGGTTGCTGTGGCATCATGTCATATGTGGTTGTTGTGGCAGCATGTCATATGTGGTTGCTGTGTCAACATTTCTTATGTGGTTGTTGTGGCAGCATGTCATATGTCATTATTGTGGCAGCATAATAAATTTAGTTGACTTAAGAATAACATACTAGTATTTGGTTGCTACAGCAACATAACAAATGTTGTAGTTGTGACAGCATGTCATATGTGGTTGCTATGGCAGCATTTCATATGTGGTTGCTATGACAGCATGTCATATGTGGTTGATTTGGCAACATTTCTTATGTGGTTGTTGTGGCAGCATGTCATATGTCATTATTGTAGCAGCATAATAAATTTAGTTGGCTTTAGCATAACAGATTTGGTTGCTATGGCAACATAACAAATGTGGTTGTTGTTGCAGCATGTCATATGTCGTTGTTATGGCAGCATGTCATATGTGGTTTCTGTGGCAGAATGTCATTATTGTCTGATATGCCAGAATGTCATATGTCATTGTTGTGGCAGAATGTCATATATGGTTGTTGTGGCAGCATTCCATATGTTGTTATTGTTGTGGCAGCATAGAAAATTTAATTGGCTGCAGTTGTAGCATAAATGATATGGTTGCTGTGGTAGCATGCATTTGTTGTTGCTGTGACAGCATTAATAATGTGGTAGCATTACAAATTTCTTGCTATTTTAGCATAAAGACATATAATGATGCAAATGAAAGGATAACTCAGTCTCCTGAAATTATTTGTTGCCAACAAATGTGATTGTAAATTTAGAATTAATACTGACACAAATTCAAGAATAGAAGGTACAATTAGGATCCTGCATGAAATTTTTCATTGAGCAAACCCCACAGCCTCTCAATAAAACATATGTAGTGTCATCTTTGTAAGCATTTCAGGGCTGTCTTTGTGAGCTATTAAGGGCTATCATGATTAGCAATTCAGGTCCATTATTGTGATCAATTCAGAACTATAACCTCCCTTGTGGCCGAGGGGTTGTCTTTAATGGTTAAGGCATAAGAATTGCAGCCAGCATTTATTCCTGCATGGTCATAAGAGGCAACTAACTGGGTTCAAACAACTGGAGTATATGCATCTCAACCTCAACAGGTGAGGTGGTTGTTTTAAAGTTTGTAACACCCAAGGTTAGCTAAAAATCATCCATTTTTGTGAGCAAGTCAGGGCAAACAATGTATCATTGTGAGCAATTAGGGACCATCATCATGAACAATTCATGCCAATCATTAACAGCAAGTCAGGGAAATCATTGTAAGCAAGTTAAGGCCATTGTTTTTAGAAAATTACAGCCAGCATGATGAACAAGCAATTCAGGGCAGTAATTATGAGCTATAATGTTCCATCATTGTGAGCTATTTATGGTCATTATTGTGATTAATTTTGGACTATAATTGTGAAAGATGTGGCTATCTTGGTTAGCAATTTAGGACCAGCATTGTGAGTAATTAAAGGCCATTGAGAAAGTTGATAGCTGATTGCAATTCAGGGCTATCATTGTGAGCAATTTTAGGGTTGTCATCTTGAGCAACTTAGGGTTGTCCTTGTGAGCTATTCAGAGCCATTGTTTTGGGTAGTTCAGAGCCATTGTTTTGGGTAGTTCAGAGCCATTGTTTTGAGCAATTTCTAGCCATCATTGTTAACATTTCCAGCTATCATTGTGAGTAATGAAGGTCCATCAATGGGTGCAAACAGGGCCAGAATTGTGTTAAATTCAGGTTAATCATAGCAAGCATTTCAGGGCAATTATTATTAACAATTCAGGGCAGTTATTGTGAGCAATTCCGGGCAATCATTGTAAACAATTCAGGCCAATCATGTTTTAATTATTTTACTTTCAGCTATATTGTAGTATATTATGACTGTGTTTTTATTTCTTGCTACAGTATGCTTGTGACATTGAAGCAGAAGTGGTAGGGAAACCTGCACAAGCCTTCTTTCATACAGCTGTACAAGATATGGGCATAACACCTGAAACAGTGAGTGGTGCATCTACACTAATTTATTTTTCATATCATATTAAACCAACTTCATAGGGATTTTATCATTTAGATAATTTCTAAAGAATTATCCTTCTGCCACTTTATCAATTCCTGGAGAGCCTTCCAACTCATCCTTGTATTAAGGTTGACTTAACATTTGTGTAATGTTTTGTTTCTGACTTTCTTTATAATCATTTATCTGAAAAAATGCCTTTGCTTTTGAATGAACCCGTAATGAGACTTACAGCAGTATAATGTTATGTTATAGTGTGTTATGGTTGGTGATGATATAGTTGGTGATGTTGGTGGAGCACAGAATGCTGGTCTAAGAGGTATACAAGTTAGGACAGGTAAATTCAGGTAAGAAAACAATAGTCTGTATTGTGACTGTGAGAAATTAACCAATACTCTTCAGGGTTTTTATTATTATTATTATTCTGTTTTTTTTTAAGGACTGATGGGGTCAGTCTGTATATCTGTCTTTATGTATGTCATTTCTAACTTTTCCAATCAATAACTAAAGAAGGAGTAAGCCATGATTTATGTAACTTAGTATGAATATTCCCTAATGCCAGTAGATGAAACCTACTTATTTTTGAAGTCAGTAGGTCAAAAGTCAAGGTCACCTTGGTCTTCACAAGGCTCAAAGCTTGTTCAAAAAATGATAACAGTACACTTTCGCCAAAGTCGTATGATTTTGTGTTGATGTTGGTCATTACTAGTAAATGATCCCTAATAAATTGAGAACAGTATTGTTTTTACGATGAATAGGTCAAAGGTCAATATCACTGTGGCCTGGGCCCCTTAAAGCTTTTATAACTTATATCTAGGGAACACTTTTGCATACAGTTCTAAGATATGGTGCAGGGATTGGGCATGTGTAGGTGATGATCTCTATGGATTTCAAAGTCAGTAGGTCAAAGGTCAAGGACACCATGGATTTGACCACTGAAATTTTGTCTGATCAATATCTAGGGAACACTTTTGCCTACAATTATATTATTTGGTCATTTGATCAGGGCAAAGGTTAAGGTCAAAGTGGCTTGATTACCCATAGCGATTTTGAGGTAATTTGGTCAAAGGTTAAGGTCACAGTTGAACTAAATGTAACTTGGGGAAAAGCTGAAATTAATGAAACTTTGTAGGAACATTGCCCATAGGGGACCCATATTGATTTTATGGTCATAAATTCATGGTCACGGAAATAATTGTCTTATCATGAACACTTTTATTATACATATTCTTTATCATAAAATACTTTACTTTGATACGCATGTATATAAAAATTTCATGACAGCAAATAAAGTATGGAAATAAGTGACAAATTAACACATTTCTAATTTATAATTATTATAATTTTTATTAAAATAGCCTTCAATTTTTTTATGACATAAAGAATAAATTTTAAACTTGGCAATCTTTTTTGTACATGAAATAATGAGCACAAAATTCTATCCCTCTCATGTAATACTTAATATTATTGTTATCCACAGCTTACTCGTGTATTGACGTATATCTTAAATATTTGAAGTTTTGGCTTTATTCTATGTACCCTTTGGCTTGATATTCTGATCAAGTGGCTTAACCAGAGACTTATAATACATTTAAATATAGCTCTTTGGAATCATTTAAGCTAAAAATAGTTTTATCGATTTTTTCCTCATAGCCAATGTTCTTAGCTTTGTCACGTTCATTGTCACATTCATCAGTGTTATTGATACTAACAATCTTTGTTTAACTTTCAGGCTAGAAGATGAGAACCATCCTGTAGTGAAGCCTGATGGATTTGTAGACAATCTTGCACAAGCTGTCGATTTAATTATTGCTTATATGTCTAAATAAAAACAAATAGCTTTACATGTACAATGTATATAGAAATAAATGGTGTAATTATTGTAAAGGGAAGTAATTTATTTATCAGATTTTAAAGAAAGTATATGATACTCATTTATTTTTGAAGGCACATTATGCATTTTATTTTTAATTCTCTTGAAATGCCAAGCATGTGTTTAATAATGTTTTGGTAATTGATTTAGAGCATATTATATGTGCAACATCTAAAGAAAATAGCACTGAATGTGCAGAAATGTGTCATAATTTCATAAAGGTAGCAAAATGCAAACAAAGTAGTATTTTCACTTCCATACAAAATACTAACTCACTATAATAATACCCATTGCCAACAAAGCAAAAGAGGCAAACGTTCAACTACATGTATTTTAATTTTTGGAAATTGTAACAAGATAGATCTACCAAAAATAAGAAGTTTCTGAGTAAAACAAATGGTAGCATTTCTTTGGCTGAATATTAATTTTCTACTTTAATTATTATAATTTATGGAATGTTTTGATCATGTTGTGTCTTTTTGTATACATGTACATGTATAATGATAATTAATTGTATTTGTTGATAATTATGTAGAATATATAATTTTAACATTTGTATATCTATTATTAATGTCTTGTAAATTAAACCTCATGTGATATAATAATCATTTGATAAGTTATATATCAGTTCCAAACATAAGAAGGTTACCGTCCCCCAATATGGTGGAAGAAAGTCTATAGAAGACATCATTCAAACATTTTGCAGTTTTGCAGTTTATGCATCAGTTGTTCCCAGCTACAGCTGAACTGACAGAATGTTTAGCAAGTGAATCAATAACCCTGCTGACTTTGAAAGAAAAGCCTCGTCAAAACATCCTTGAGAAATGTCTATGGTCAAATGAATAAACAAACCAGCTAGTAAGCCTCAACTAAACCTTTGGCTAAAAGAATTTTCAGCGTGAGCCCTACCTAGGTTCCATCTACATTACCTGAAAATCTTCAATAGCTTTGTATAATTATACAGAACTTGTAAAATTATTATTGAATTACCACCTGCTTTGTCTGATTTTTTTAGGTGTAAAGTGATATCTGGAAGCTGTAAATTGTTGCACCTTACTCTGTGTCAGCGTATTTCTTGTGAACTATTAAATATAATGTAGTTTTGTCTTGGTTAAGTGTTGTAGATTGGATACTGCTTTCAAACGCTGATATATTTATTGTCTATGGGCTTGAGCGATTTTTTTAAAACGGACACGAAATGATGAATGTTAATCGGTTTAGAATCTTAAATAAGGTATGGCTTGGAAGAATATCATTGACTGAGACGTATCAAAATCATCAAACCTGATTTGACAAATGCAAAAAGTGCCAAATGTTAAATTTTCAAGACCCTTATACTTAGTACCAATGTTTTATGTTTGATTGCTCTTTCATAGTCGTGGAAAATTTGAAAACAATATCTATAGTTAAAAATACTTGTATTATAATGTTGCCGATTTGTTAATTGGCCCTTAAGAATGAATTTATTTCGTCGTGTTTGGTTAAAATATTCAGTCAAATTATTGTTGGATGGTAATTTGGAAAAGAAACCTACTTCATTCTTTTTGGAGCTGGCTGTTAAATCTTTTTTTAATTTTTGACTAAATTTTACTTACTTTTAGCTGGACTATTCGGAGAACAGGGAGAGCTATTGTACTAACAAAGGCGTTGGCGTCACACTTTGGTTAAGTTTTATGTTCTTGTCTGTTGGTCTTTCCAAAACTACTTTAGGGAATGAGTTGAAACTTCACACAGTATAATACATGTAGCAGGTCACTGTCCAAAGCCAATAACTCTAACTTGGATTTTGGCTGAATTATGGCCCTTTTTGAACTTAGAAAGTTCTTCATTATCAATGGTTTTGTTTTACCACCTTCTGTACCGAGGCTTATTGTTTTACTTTCGAGCACGCTATTCTAGCGACAGCCTATATTTATTAAAACTCTCTGAATAAACATTGTTGCTATGGAAACAATAGGTGACATTTGGTGATATTTATTTAGACAGAATTTTGATTGGCCAAAAACATTTACCTGGCTTTATGGAGAAAACAATTAAGTAGACACTAAATCTCTAGTATCCATTTGTTTATGGTTCATTTACAAGATTGATTTATCTGAAGTTTTACTTGTTCCAACAGCTTCATAATTTGAAAGGCAATTATTTTGTCAAGTAACATAACCTTGCTATCAGTTTTCCCGCAGTCATTTTCCTCTTAATATCTATTAACACGGTGTCAAGGGTATACGCATCATTTTTCCGCGTACCGCCGATAATTTATCATCCTGTGCGCAACACCGTATCATTCTTACGTAATCTTCTGAAAAGTGCAAGAGGTCAATTCAAAAATGCGAAAATTTCTTACTAAAATTGATTTTATTTAGAGAGTTCGCATACATCACGGAAGTTTTGAATCATTCATATATGTGTGCAAAACATTTTGCAACAATATTTGTCTGTTATAACCTGAAACTAATGAAAACACTTTTATACATGTGAAACATTTGTGATCTTGATGCAAACATTTTTTATCCTTTTCCGAAAGTAAAGCTGTCGGAAGAAGTATAATATGTCAAATGATAGCAAAAGAATTGACCCGAGCTGATAACATACCAATTTTATACAAATAATGCAAAATAATGTTGTGAAATCAAGAAAACTTTGATAAACATGGTACCGCATCATGCAGAACCATGGCACCGCTTCTTTTTGCGCGGTAATACTTTTTCTTTTTTTTTCGGGGGGGGGGGGGGGTGGGTAATGCTAATTTTTATTGTTATCAGTAAGGGTAAGCGGGGCAGTGGATTACCTGGGCCTGGAAGCAATCTGGACCTCTACAGTTGTTTTTAAAGATAATTTCTTGTTAAAAATGTATGTTTTCGTAGCAGTTGCATTTTATGTCTTTTGTGAGGTTGAACTTTTCTTTGGACTACGGAGTTGCATAATATTTGCAGATTTCAGTAATCGAAATTTTACTCTCAAATTTGTTAATACAACACACAAGCAAGTCAAAGCTCATATTTCTAAAATGGAATTTCTTTTTTACATTTGAATTTTAGTTACTTAACTAATTGACTGTCACTTGGCGCATAACGTACGCATGTTAAGGTGGCAACTATGTATGGTGGCAGATTTGGTACATTGCGCGTTTCGTTGTCGATAGTGACGACGCAACATATATCGATTTCGCCTTTTCATCTTGTCGCTAGCGACAATACCAAACGGTGCGTTGTCGCGCTGTCGTCTTGTTGTCCTGTCTCTAGCGCGGCACCCAAAACGGCGCGTTGTCGTGCGGCGTGTTGTCGCGATGTCACATTGTCGCTCGGTTCAAATTATAGGATTGGCTTATAAGCCAGCGACAGAGCGACATCGCGCCGCACGACAACGCAGTTTGGCGTGGCGCGCTAGAAACAGGGCCACAAGACGACTGTAGCAACGTTATATGTCGCAACGCCGCTATATGTCGCAACTAACGCTAAATGTCGCAACGCTGACGCTATATGTCGCAATCAACGCTATATGTCGCAATCGCCTACCGCTAAATGTCGCAACGTTGCCGCTATATGTCGCACAAAAATCGATTGCCGCTAAATGTCGCAACCCCTTGACGCTAAATGTCGCACTTGGTATGAAAGTAACAGATGGAACTGAAACAAAAAGTGTCAAAACATTTAAAGTTTATACCATTTACACAGAAAACATATCATAGTAAGCAAACAAAAGTTGTATTTCGCGGTCTATGGCAAAAACCTTGTATGGTCATAGAAACGGTTTTTGATAAAAGAGATGGATTTGGTTCTCAACCACGGGCTAGGTGTGACATCAAACTTTCTCTTTGAAGATGTCTTTCTCACAAAATGCATCAACAAAAACATTTGGATATACATGTATATTTGTTATATTATTTGACATAACTGAGCAAACCGCTTGTTAATGCTAAGGGGGAACTATATCTTAATATATATTTTATATTATACCTGTTCATAATCTGACTAGATAGGCTTTACTACATGTAAGTATTAAATAATACCCAATTAATTGATCTGTTGATCGATATTCGTAACTATGCAGTGTATTGATTTAGGTTATGACAGAATTGTTATACTTTCAAAACTTTTAATATTTATCTCAATATTTCTTTGGGAACATTAATGAATCAATATACTATGGAATTGCCAAATGTTGACTGCCTATTGCTTACTGTCAACTGCTTGCTGTCAACTGCTTACGGCTTACTACTTATTATTCACTGCTTATAGCATTAAAATAAAAATGGACGACCTATTACAACTATATTGGTCAAAAAATTATTCAGTTGCCGAAATAGTTGCCGTTCTGGAGGTCATACATAATATAGTGCAGTGGTATATAGACAGCCTTGCTGTTGGGTAAACCCTTTAGCGATGTGGTTGAGGTGTCCGCCTACGGACCAAGACGTCTGTTGTTCAAAACCCGGTTGAACCCTTGGTATTTTTCTGCCTCCTAATTTACTTTAATGGTGTCAGAAGTGTTTGACGGACTCATGCGGTAAGCAGGGAGTGTCATTCAGGAGAGCTGGCTAGCTCGGGGAGGAGTGTAGTGGTTGTAGGTATATAGGCCACTTCCATCAGCCTTGCTGTTAGATTAACCCTTTAACGACGTGGTTGAGGTGTCCGTCTACGGACCAAGAGTTCTGTGGGTCAAAACCCGGTTGGACCCTTGGTATTTTTCTGCCTCCTAATTTACTTTTATAGTTTACAGGTACATATATATTCTTAGAACAACATTTAAAGGAATTCACTGATAAATTGATAAGAGATGCATGGACTATAACATGGAATTCCATAAACGACAGCCCAACTGTTGACTTGCTAACTGTCTACTTCTGACTAACTACTGCCTACTGTTAACTGCCTACTGCTTTACTGTCAACTTGCTTACTGTCAATTGCCTTATACTGTTCAATGCTGCTTACGGCTTACTGCTTATTGTTCACTGCTTATAGCATTAAATGTACCAAAACCTAAATAGTTATGCGTGTCTGTGCAATAAATCGTTGATAACTCGGTCGGAATCCTTTGGTTGATACATAGCAAATAAATACGCGCAACGCACGGTAGGCAGTAAGCGATAGCGTAAACAGCGCGCAGTAAGCAGTCAACAGTTAGCTGTCGTTTATGGAATTCCATAATATACTGTATTATAATCAAACATTTCCAATCGATCTTCGTAATGCACAATCACTTTACATGAAAACTTACACATTCGCCTTTGCGTTGATGCCATATGTTGGTTTGAAATTGTAGATATATGGTATAGAAGGTCATGAACGTTTGTAGGTCATATAATAATGTTTTAAAATATATGAGATAGGTGAAAGCTGAAACTGATATAACATTGGTGGATTTCATTTTTTTAATATCACAATTAGTACTAAGAATTAGTTTTCGTCATTGTACTTCGTTTATATTTGAAAGTTTGCTTTCCAAAAGTTTTGTTTTATTTCTTTGATTACAAATTGGAGATTTGTACATAATTTTTATCATAACATTTACATTAAGTTTATAATTTACTATTCTTAAAATGATAACACACAAACTGCACTAAAACTCTAGTGCCATATCATGTTTTTATGTGTATATTTA